TCCTAAGAGCAGGAACAACCCAAGACACCCGGCTGCCTTCTCTCTCTCTTTCTCTCTCTCTCTCTCTCTCTCTCTCTCTCTCTCTCTCTCTCTAGACCAAATAGTGTTGTGATTAATATAGTTTTTGTGTGATTATTTGGGTCTGGGTAGCTGGGAAATAAACAAGCAGTCTCTGTTTACAAAATGGCACCCACTGTCTAGGACGTGGATCCACTTAAGACCTAAAAAACGCTTAAGGGAAAAAAAAGAGGGCTTCTAGATCTCCCAAAATGGAAGCCAAGCTCAGCTGGTAATGGTAGCCGCATTATTTTTTTCAGATAGGCTCTGTTTGCTGACAGCGAGCAGAGACATGGCTCCTTTTTTTAAAAAAATCTATTTATTTATTATGTATACAGTATTCTCAGTAGTCTGTCTGCATGTATGCCTGCAGGCCAGAAGAGGGCACCGGATCCCATTACAAATGGTTGTGGCCACCATGTGGTTGCTGGAAATTGAACTCAGGACCGTTGGAGGAGCAGGCAGTGCTCTTGACCACTTAGCCATCTCTCCAGGCCCCGGCATGGCTCCTTTAAGAGAAGGCTTCCTGACTTAGCATAGCAGCAAGAACTGCATAGCTGCTGTTTCTTCTTCCTCTTCTTCTTCTTCCTCCTCCTCCTCCTCCTTCTTCTTAAAAAAGGCCACTACCTGGTTCGTGCTGACTGCATGAACTCTGGCTGTTTTGGGAGGTCTGCACTCAAATGGGGTTTGTGAGCTGCGTGCTGCTGGTTATTTAATGATGACATAGATCATTTGCATTCCTGGAGCTGGGGTGTTTTGCATGGTTAGCAGAGAAATTGAACACGCCTCTATCGTGTTGGACAGGGTGGAGTCAACAGGCAGGGCCACGGAGTTGGTTCTAGCCACATCCACTTAGCATTATAAACAAAAAAGATGCTCCTGGTCAGAAAATTATTACAAATATGCAATAAAAGACATATTCAGACAACAATAAATCTCTGAATGGGTTACAGTGCATTTAAAAATATACATAGGCTTGGGAGAGAGAAGAAAAAGAGTATAGACAGTTATAAAAAGAAATAAATAGAGTTTGAGGCCAGCCTGGTCTACAAGAGCTAGTTCCAAGCCTGGTCTACAGAGCTAGTTCCAGGACAGGCTCCAAAGCCACAGAGAAACCCTGTCTCGAAAAAAAAAAAAAGAGAAAAAAAGAAATAAATAGTTTTTAAAAATAAAACAAAATCTTTAAAGAGACAGTAAAAGTAATATAAAAGAATACAGACATAGATTAAAGGAGTAAAGAAAAATAATCCATGTAAACATGGAATATACACAAAGACTGGATTATGTATATTATTGTGTCTTCTTGAATTTTTGAATGCAGAGAGATATTTGATTCTGGAGGCTGCTAAGCTAAACCAAAACACATATTTTAAAGGTATCTTGACTTCAAACCTTGAGTTTAAGGATATGTTATTTTGGAAAAGAGGTTCTACTTTTATTTCCACAGAGGATTGGAACCTGTGGATTCCTTCCAGGCTAATTGGTCTGATAGAAAAGGTCCCCCAAAAGGTCTCTGTGAACCCTAAAATACCTCACCCAACAAATAGCAAGAAGCAATTTGGAGAAAACTATGCCTTCCTCCCTTCTCAAGCCATACTCTCCTCCAAAATCTCCATTGATAATAGGAGACCTGGGGAACCATGAAGTAGCTTCTTCTGCTCCAATGGCAACCAACAGATATGGCTGTGTCCTTCTTTATTTTCTCCTTGTCCCTCACCCATTGCCTCTTACCCAGAATCCAGTACTGAAGTTAAATCTGTATCTGAAATGGATTAATAAAAAATGCTGTGGATCCCAAGTAGCTACAGCGGGCAGCAGGCCATGAGACCATGCTGCAGGTCTCCAAAGGTGGCTGGTCCCAGATGGGCAAGAGACAGACGGATAGGCACACCATGCAGAGTGAGGTTGAATATTTATTTAGTGGGTTATGTGGAGGGGGGAAGGGAGAAGGTGAAAAGAGCAGAGAGGCAGAGAGAGAAAAAGAGAAAGAGAGAGAAGGGAGAGGGAGAGAAAAGGGAGAGAGAGATAATGTGGGAGTGACTTTTCTAATCTGTTGCTTTCATTGGTTAATTAATAAAGAAACTGCCTTAGCCCATTTGATAGGCCCACCCTTAGGTGGGTGGAGTAAACAGAACAGAATGCTGGGAGAAAGAAGCTTAGTCGAGGAGTCGTCATGATTCTCCCATTCCAGACAGACGCAGGTTAAGATCTTCTCTGGTAAGCCACCTCGTGGGCTACACAGATTATTAGAAATGGGTTAGATTAATATGTAAGAGCTAGCCAATAAGAGGCTACAGATAACGGGCCAGGCAGTGTTTAAAAGAATACAGTTTCCGTGTAATTATTTCGGGCATAAGCTAGCCATGCTGGCGGCCGGGTGCCGGAAAAGTAGCCCGCCGTTCCTATTACTACAGAGAGAGAAAGACAGAAGCTGCCTCTTTGAGAGGGAGACAGAAAAGGAAGAGACTCAGGCTGCAAGCATGAAGGAAGATCTGCCTGCCTCAGTGAACAGGGGAGTGGGCATGGCTTGTCTCTTAAAAAGAGACAGAACAAATCATTACAGTATCCACAGTTCATAACTAGAGGCCCAATGTGAGCTAGGATGGACTAACTTCTTCTGTAGGATCTGCCGCTGCAAACACCATGGAAACCCTCAGTCAGAATCCCATGTTTCAGGGCCTGTTAAAAAATGACTTTGCTGCCGGGCGATGGTGGCGCACGCCTTTAATCCCAGCACTCGGGAGGCAGAGGCAGGCGGATCTCTGTGAGTTCGAGGCCAGCCTGGTCTACAAGAGCTAGTTCCAGGACAGGAACCAAAAACTACGGAGAAACCCTGTCTCGAAAAATCAAAAAAAAAAAAAAATGACTTTGCTATCTCTCGTGACTGTGAAGTCCAGCACATGGGCTCTCTTCATCTGAGGCTAGATCCAGACGCTTGAGGAAGCACACATGCCGGATTTCTTGGATTTGCTCTGTTTGGCTTCCCTTTTGGATAGTTATTCCCTTAAGATAACTTCAGAGTCACAGAAGCTGACATTGGGGTAATCAACTCCTTTTCATGAGCTTGATAGCAAGTCTGAATGTGCAGGCCAGCCCAAGTTACCTGCCAACCCCAGGGCAGAGCACCTAAACTCCTCCTGGCCTGAGAAAGAGAGTCCCCCGAGGAAAGTGGAATCCATGCTAGTAAAACTGGAAATAGCCCAGGGGTAGTCAGCCCCTGCTCCATTTCCCACAACAGCCTCCGTATCCTGAAGGACGTGTTTCGGCCTTAACTTGTGCACTTTGTGCTAATTCTCCTCCATCTGTTTACCTACCCCATGATGCACTTTCTGGGCACCCTGCTTGTGGCAGGCTGCTTTACCTCCAGCTCCCAACAGCACTACCTAGGAAGTTGGCTGCAGCCCAAAGTGGAGCCACCTGTTCCAGGCTGCCTGCCTCCCCACCGTGCTCTTTGCAGAGTGGTATTTGTGCCAACTGGTAGTCTCGTGAGCAGGTACCTGCAAAGACATCACAAGGAAATCCAGTGTAGGGCATGAACATAGGTCCTAATAGGGCACCCATTATTCTTACAGGGGCCAGTGGGGTGGTTGGGGCTGTGACGCTTCAATGGAGCCAAGCCCTAAGACGGTGCTGCCATAGGGCCAGGGACCATCGTATCTCAATGCTGCCAAACAGGAGTGGGTCGACATGGAGGGAAGTGCTGGTGGGTTTCTTGTGGTCTCTAGAGACAGCATAGTTCTTTCTTTGTTCTGTTGGCTTAGAAATGTTGGATGGAAGCCGGGTCTCCTGTTGCCAGCATTCTCTGATCCTGCCGTGGCTTGCGTAGAAATCTCCTTTGTCCTCTCCCTGTTCTTAGCTGGAAAGATGCCAAAGATAGAATGATCTAGACAGACTATTACAAAATCCTCATCCCCCGTGGCCAACCCCCTACCAGAGGAGGGTGTGGAGGCCGAGAAATGCAGGCCCCTTTCCACCTTGTCTGAAGTCAGAGAGTTTGGAGATTGACAGGCATAGTTGCACATCCTAACTCAGGATGTGACTGCTTGGTTCTTTGGAAATTAAGAGGGGTCTGTGCCATCCTGACAGATGGTCAGGATATGCAAACATACTTCTGCTCCTTCTTAGTAACTGTGAGGTCACCTGGGGAGGGGCGGCCTTCAGGATTGTGATCTGGAGCATCTCTGCTACCAAGACTATGGAATGCCAACGATTTGATGTCTCAGAGTGATAATGTGATTGACTGTGTGAGTTATCCTTTGTATCATGTTAGTAAAGCCTTTTGTCACCTTCTCTCCCCCCCCCCTCCCGTTTATAAAAGCTGTGGAAAAATAAACGCAGGTCAATTTCAGGATTTCAGTAATCATTGGAATACCCCCCCCAGTAATATTCTATGTTTTCTGTCTTATTTTTATGCATCTTCATATTCTTTACTTACTATTTCTTCAATTCCCACGCCCCTACCTTGGCAAGAGGTGATTTTGTCAAGGCTGGTCCTTGACAGGAGGGAGAGCAACTTCTGTCGCACAGTGGGAAGCAGAGCTAGTGATGCCCTGACCAGGAAAAGGTCAGTATGGGTGAGCCCCCAGCCCACTGGAAAGGCCCTCACCCTAGGACAAGCCTGAGGTGTGAATGAAGTCAGATCTAGGCCAGAGCTCTGGGTATTGTGTTTTTCAATCCCACTGACTGTAACACACGGACAGCTCTTCTTGGTCAGTGCTCTATTGCTGACACACAAAGACCACGGCAACTCTTACAAAAGAAAGCATTTAATGGGGATTCGCTCACAGAGTCCATAATTAGCTTGGTGAGATGCATGACGGCAGGAAGAGAGAGAACTCTGGGACTGGTTTGGACTTCTGAAACCTCAAAGCCCACCTCCAGGGACACACTTCCTCCAACAAGGCCACCCCTACTAATAGTGCCACTCCCTAGCGGCCAAGCATTCATATCTAAGAGCCTCTGGGGGAGGAGAGGGAGCATCCAGCTTTCTGCCATCCAAAGATTCCACATTGTGTTGCTGTGCCCATTTTATATACCCTGCACCTAGGTGCCCAGATTTCCAGCTGATACCTCCATGTCAACTGGATGAAGGGTCTGGGTAGTTCTAGACCTGACATACAGGCCCCTGAGGTAATCATTACTTTCTACTTTGATGAGAAATTCCTGGGCACTCTTACAAGGATGAGGCAAGAGTCAGGGGTTTGCCCAGCCTAAGGGGAAGGTAGAAATGGGTAGTAGGGGGGATATATCTCTCAAAACCTCTGACCTCCAATGGGAGCAGTGATCTCAGTAGACCCTATCCAAGTTTTCTACAAATGGGAGCAACTTGGTGCTGGGATTGGGTCCCTCCAAGTTAGTGATGAGGCACACTGTGGCTGGGTGGGAGACTTCTGATTCTGACCTGAGTCTTACTGCCCATGAGACTGGTCCCCCTCAGGTTTTTTCAGGAAGACTAGGACATAGTCTAGGAAAGAGCTCTGTGGGTGTGTGGGATCGTATGATCATCTATAACGCAAGACGTAGGACCCAGTGAATATTTTCCTTTTCCTTTCCCAGGTAAGGTTACCTCGAAGGTGTCATGAGAGGGTCGGAATCCATAGGACGGTTGGCTGAGACCCCCCTCACCTCCCTGTTCAGTACACAGTCCTCAACAGCAGAACTTTCAGCACCAGGGGGGTCCGGCTTCACCCCTCGTTAGGCAGACAGACCTAGCCAGGTGACCTGTGCCAGGGTAAGACTGCAGTGGTCCTGGAATGTGATCCTTCTTCCCTTCCATCCGTGGAGCAGCATAGCCATTGTACAAGATGGGTTGTTTCTGTCTGGTTGTTTTGCGTTTTTTGAGACTGGTCTCAAGTTCGCTAAGTAGTCGAGGATGATGGCCTTGACTTTCTGAAGTCAAAGGGTGCTTGTTTTATTTTTAATCTTGTTTTCATTTTGAGGATCTCACTAAATTACCCAGCTTGGCCCCGAACTCATTTGGTAGCCCGGGTGGGCTCCCTTTTAAGCAGCTTGGATTCTACAGACCTGCACCGCATGACGTAGGGTGGGCTTTTTGCGAGGGGCGTTTTCTTTGGTCCTGACCCTCTTCTCGCGCGAAAGAAGGGGAGGAAAACCGATGGGACGGAGAAGGTCGAGTCAACCTGCAGCTTCTCTTCGGGTGTACAGTTAATTTCCACCAAGCCAAAGCCTTGCGGATGCCAACTGTTCCAAAGATGCAGGAGTTCAGGGTGAAGTTACATTTCAGTCCTTGAGCCTAGTCCCTTGGTCAGAGCGGGGACCAGCATCAAATAGAGGGACCATCCCTCAGGAGTCCTCACCGATTGTGGCCAGGGCCTGTGCCCTGCCCACGGTAAGTGGACTCTCGTGCCGTGGGGTGCGGTCCAGCGAGGGTTAAGGGGGCGGGGACGCGGGGCAGCCCCGCCTCTGCCGCCGGGTCCGAGAGCGCACTGGGCGTGGGCGTGGGGCGGGTTGGAGCCCGTGGCGGCTGAGGTCCCTGCGCGGAGCGGGCGCGGGAGCGGCTGGGGCGGCGCGGCCCGCGTGACCCTCCGCCGCTCCCCGTGCGCTCGCGAGCCCGCGCCCTGCAGCGCCGGCCCAGCCGCAGGATGCGCGCTCCGCCGCTGCTGTTGCTGCTGGCCGCCTGCGCGCCGCCCTCCGGCGCCGCTGTGGTCCCGACGCCGCCGGGCTGGGAGCCGGCTTCCGACGCGCCCTGGTGCCCTTACAAGGTGCTGTCCGAGGGCCCCGAGGCGGGCGGTGGGCGCCTATGCTTTCGCAGCCCCGCTCGGGGCTTCCGCTGCCAGGCGCCGGGCTGCGTGACGCTGGTCTCGGCGGGTGGTTCTCTGCGCGCCCACGTCCTGCGCAACCGCAGCGTGTTGCTGCAGTGGCGACTGGCTCCGACCGAGGCGCGCCGCGTGCGAGTCTTCGCGCTGAACTGCTCGTGGCGTGGCACCTACACACGCTTCCCGTGCGATCGCGTGCTGTTGGGCGCCTCCTGCCGCGACTACCTGCTGCCCGACGTGCACGACAGCGTGCGCTACCGCTTGTGCCTGCAGCCGCTGCCGCTGCGCGCCGAGCTCGCCGCCACCCAGCCAGAGCTCGCCGAGTGCGTGGAGTTCACCGCCGAACCGGCAGCTATGCAGGAGATCGTGGTGGCCATGACGGCGGTGGGCGGCTCCATCTGTGTCATGCTGGTGGTCATCTGCCTGCTGGTGGCCTACATCACTGAGAACCTCATGCACCCGACCTTCCGGCGACCCAGTCTGCGCAGGCAGTCCTGAAGCGCGAGGCGACCCGCCCATCTGGGTTCCACCTGCCTAAATGTGCTGAGACCCTAGGCCCTTTCCCTGCTTCCCTCTCATTCTTTCTCCCTCTTTACGATGCCCCTGGAGGGCCTAATGGAGACTAGCCCATGCAGGGACCTTGTCATCATCCACGACCTTGCCAGCCCCAGCTGGATGTCCGCTTTCCAGACTCAGGCCTCAGACTGGCCATGGGGCCCAGACTAGCGTGTCAGCCGCGTCCAGGGGTTTTCCCCATCTCTAGAGTCCTTTTCGGGCCGGCCGGAATATACAGTCCCTCTGTCAAGAGCCACTCACTGGCACCCAGGATCATCAACCTGAACTTTCTTCCCGTGCCAGGTTGTCAGAGCTTGGTCGTGATCGTTGCTTGGTCCCTTTGTGCTTCGCAGAGGGGGAGGAGTGACCTCTGGATCCTGTACCCACCCCACCTTACCCAGTGGGCTTAGGTTAGCTTTGTGCCTTAGTTTCTCTGCCCCACTACAGGAGCCACCCATCATCCCTCAGCTGTCCATGGGGAATTGTGGCCCTGAGACTGGCTGGCTTATGCATGCTTCTGGCCAGAGGCCCACTGACGACACACCAGCTTCGAGATTTTCAGGAGTCTGGGGCAGGGGTTCACAGGTCCTGTTTTGTCTTCCTATGTGGGTGTCCAAGAAGCCAAGAGCCATGATGTAGCTCAGCAGACTGGGCCCAACGTCCAGCTGCTGCATCCAGGGGTGAGTGCCCTCCACCTTAGGAGGCTGGGGATTCACCCTTTTCCTTTCGCTTGTACTGCCTTGATTAGGAATTCCCGGTGTTTTGTGTGTGTGTGTGTGTGTGTGTGTGTGTGTGTGTGTGTGTGTTGGGGGGGACTATTTGGGAGGACAGCTGAAGGGATTATGAGGGCTTTAAGGAAAGCTGCCAGCCTTGTCCAGCCAGACCCTTAACTGTGGTCTGGATCCCAAGCCTCAACCAACTTGAGACCTCAGTGGCCACACAGCCACAGAGCCACCCCTGTCCTTCTTCTACTAGAGAGTGGAGAGCCTGCGATCTGACCCCAGTGACGTTGCCCCTCCATCTGAATGGGCAGAGGTTGGCCATGCCTACCTCCTGGCTGACACAAAGGCACCTGGCTGAGGTCACCCAGCCATCTGATGATACTGGGCACTGGAAAGGGTAAGGCTCTGAGCACTGGACTTGACCCTGGCTCTTTTCCCTCCACTTTCACCTCAGCGACCACGATGACCTGAGCCCTGGCTGGCAGCACTGTACCCTACCTCTCTGTCTTTGCTCTGCCTGCTCCCCAAAAGGCACTGGTCAGTTGCCAACATCTAAATGTCCATCACTCTCAGACCAAAAACACTGTCTTGTGTGTTTATTTGGGATGTTGGAGGGAAGGTGATGGGTGAGGGAAGGGCCTCTAGAGCATCAGTCCAGTGGCTGGCCCTGAACCTTTCCTGGTGGGGATGGGATGGGGGTCAGCCCTAGGCAGTGTTCACTGAAATGATGACTTAACAGTTCTGGCAGAAGGACAGGTAGGGTGTCCATAGCTTGTTTGTCCATCCCCAGACCTTGGGAAAGCATTTCTTCCTAGGCCAGCCGTACTGTGCATGGGGGTGGGGGATGGGACTGTTCAAAACAGCCTCAACATACAGTGATGAGCCATTTGAACTGTGAGAAGCAGCAATTAGGCAGCTCTAGAAGGGGGTACCCTCTCCAGCATGGGGCTACTGCGTGAGCCACTCATTCTCCCCACCTGGAATGTCCTTGGGACTCTTGTGCTCCTGTCACCCCGAAGAAAGCAAAAGCACAGGCAGGGATGAGCCAGCTCGGACGAGTGACTCATCTCGAGGGGGTGGGAGAGGGGTTAGGGGTGTACAGATGTGCCTGCACTCATCTGAGGGGTGGAGGACATAGCAGGCTGTCTAGACAGCCAGGACAGAAATGGGAGGAGTTTGCAGTACAGCTGCTGTTCTTTGGGGACCTAGGCTGTTTTTATGAGGTGTATTCTGGTGTCTTCAGCCAGCATGGACAGAAGTTGGTGTTCTGGAAGTGGTGTATCTGAAGTACCGTAGCGTCCAGCTTCTAGCTCCCTGGGCACAGTCTGCTGCTAATGTTCTATGTGACCTCCTTAGGCTCTTGACAGGGTTCAACTGTAGCTCAGTGTTTAGAATGCTTTCCTAACATTGAAAAGGTTCTGGGTTCAATCTCCAGCACTGTATAAATTGGGAACCACGGCAGACATATGTAACCCCAACACTCAGGACGTGGAGAGTGGAGGATAAGCAGCTCAAAGTCAGATGGACGTGAGGGTGCATGTCCTTGATTCCAGAAATTGGCCAGAGGTGTGCAGATCTCTGCATTCCTGACCAATCTGGTCTACAAAGTGAGTTCCAGGACAACCAGGAATGTCACACAGAGAAACCCAGTCTTGAAGAACCAGAAAAAAAGTCATTCCCAGCTATATGTTGTGTTAAAGGCCAGGGAGAAATAAAAACAACACTGTAGATCTTAGCGTGTAAATGTGGCTAGTGGGACTGAGGAAAATTTTGCTTTGGAGATAGGGTTTCAGTGTGTAGTCCTGACTGCCGGGAAGCTTGCTCTGTAGACCAGGCTGGCCTTGAACTCCCAAGCTGGATCCCCGGCTGCTGAGATTAAAGTGTGAGACTCCACCTCCTGAGTATTGCAGGTGTGTACCCGCTGCTCCTGCCCGCCTTCACAGTCCTCTTCCTCTTCCCTCTTTCTCTCCCTCCTTGCCCCTCCTGTTTTATTTTTTGAGACAGCCTCGTGTAGCCCCGGATAGTTTCCAACTCATTAGTCAAGAATGAGCTTGAGGGGGCTGGAGAGATGGCTCAGAGGTTAAGAGCACTGAAGGCTCTTCCAGAGGTCCTGAGTTCAATTCCCAGCAACCACATGGTGGCTCACAACCATCTGTAATTCGATCGGGTTCCCTCTTCTGGCATGCAAACGGAACACTGTATAAATAATAAAAGAAAAAAGAAACTATTAAAAAATGAGCTTGAACTTTGACCCTCCTTCCTTGGCCTCTCAGGTGCTGAGGTAATTGATGCCCCACCGGACATGACCTTATACAGTGCTGGGTATCAGATCTAACGTTTTGTGTCTAGGTAAGCATTCTACCAACTGAGTTTCATTCCCCATCCCAGTTTTGAAGTTTCTAGTTATACCTTCAGCTTCTCTGAACTTCTATTCTACAGGGAATAGTTTACCATTAATCCCATCCAGTGCCAGGTGGTGGCGGCACACGCTTTTAATCCCAGCACTTGAGAGGCAGAGGCCGGGAATCTCTGAGTTCGAGGCCAGCCTGGTCTACAAAGCGAGTTCCAGGACAGCCAATGCTGTTGTGCAAAGAGACCGTCTCAAAACAACAACAAAATCACGCCCAACACCTTTTTTCTATTTGATACACAATGTGTATCATAAAAGAACAAATTAATTTAAAAACTACAAAATTTAAGATAGGTGTGGTGGTTCAAACACATAGTCCCAGAAGATGGAAATGTGGAGTCAGGAAAATTAGAAGTTCCAGGGCAGCCTTGGCAATTTGAGACTATCTCTAAAGCCAAAACACAGGTTGGTGAGAAGGCACTAGGCAAAGCACCTGTCAAGCCCGAGGATCTGATTTGATTCCGAGGATTCACACAGGGAAGGAAATGCATCAGTTTCTAAGATTGTTGCCAGCCCCTGTGTGTGCATGGTCCATGTGCACACACACAAAATAAAGGAATGTAAAAAAAAATTTAAACATGGTGGAATAGTCACATGACTTCATCACTTTGTAGGCTGAGGCAAGAGGATTGCTTTAACCAGCCAGGTTACAGAGTACGCTCCTGTCTATGCTAGGGATTAAATTTAGGTACTATATGTTGGTCAAGTGCTCCTTCCACTGAAGCTGCGCCCTCACCCCCTCAGCAGTTTTCCTTCCTATGTTTCTTCTTCCTTTCTTCTTTTATTTATTCATTTATTTATTTATTGTTGAGACAAACTCTCACTGTGAAGTCATGGCTGTGCTGGAACTTGCTAGATAGACCAGTCTGGCCTAGAACTGACAGAGATTCCCCTGCCTCTGCCTCCAGAATGCTGGGACAGAAGACGTGTGCCACAATGCCTGGCCCTTTGACATTTTCTTAACCCAAATGTGAAGAATTTGCACGCGTGTACACATGCACACACACACACACACACACACACGCAGGCTGGGCATGGTGGCACATGCCTGTAATTCCAGCACTCAGGTGGGGGAGAGTGAGACAGGAGGATTACAAATTTGAAGCTAGCTTGGACTGTACAGTGAGACCCTGCCATAAAAGCTCAAAAGAAAAAAAAAGGAAAGAAAACCCCTTCTCTATTCTATCTGCAGGTACTAACTCAAGCAAAATAAAAGTATTTGTACGAATTGTTCACACACATATAAGGTATCTGTAATAGCCCGAGACTAGAGACGAGACAGCCCAAATACCCGTCTGCAGATGACTGAACAAAATACGCTATGTTTAAACAATGACAAGCAACATGGCAATAAGGAAACTTGGCATGGTGGTGTGTGCCTCTAATCCCAACACTTGGGAAGCAGAGCAAGTTCAAAGACTGCCAAGGTTACACAGAAAAACCCTGTCTCCAAAATAAATAAATCAAAATAAAAGATAGGCACTGGTGATGTGAGGGAGAGGGTCAGGAACTCAAGGTAATTATCACATATATGTTGACTTTCTTTTTGTTTGTTTGTTTTTTGAGACAGGGTTTCTCCGTGTAACAGCCCTGGCTGTCCTGGAACTAGCTCTTATAGACCAGGCTGACCTCGAACTCACAGAGATCTGCCTGTCTCTGCCTCCCTAGTACTGGGATTAAAGGCGTGGGCTGCCACCACCACCCTGCTTATATATATGGACTTTGATGCTAGCCTGGACTACATGATACTTTGTAACTCTAAAATGCACAGATTATAGTAAGAGAAAACACTGTTACTGCTGTCTGGGTAGTAGTGAGTTGTCTGGGGAGATGACTGAGTGTTGGAAGATGAGAAGGTAGAAAAGGTTACAAAGTGGTATGAAGAAAAACATGTTTTGTTGATTTCATAGGTATAGTTATATATCTAGAAAGATAACCCACGTTTTTTCACTTAAATGCTATATTCGTGATTTACTAGGTTAGTTTTCTTATTCTGGTTATAAAACATTGTTCTAGCCAGACATAGTAGCATTTTAATCCCAGCACTTGGGAGTTTGAGGCCAACCTGGTGTGCAGAGTGAGTTCCACACCAGCCAGGGCTACATAGAAAGACCCTGTCTTAAAAAAAAAAAAAAAAAAAAAAAAAACTGCCCTCGGTTTGGAGAATTGGCTCAACATTTAAGAGAAATAGTTGCTATTCCAGAAGATCTGGGTTGGATTTCTAGCACCCATGTGGTGGCTCACAACCATCTGTAAGGATAGTCTCAGGGATTCTGATGTTCTTTTCAGGCCTCCGGGGGCTCCAGTCATACACAGAGAGAGAGAGAGAGAGAGAGTTTTTCAGGTTAGGTTTCCCATATCATACTTTTTTTAAAAATATTTTTATTTAACTTTATTTTATGTGCATTGGTGTGAAGGTGTCAGATCCCCCGCAACTGGATCTTCAGACAGTTGTGAGCTGCCATGTGGGTGCTGGGAATTGAACCCGGGTCCTCTGGAAGAACAGTCAGTGCTCTTAACCACAGAGCCATCTCTCCAGCCCCCCACATCATACTTTGAGACAGTGACAAAGTCCAACTCTGCAGTCTTGGTGGGTTGAATACCCAGTGTGCCCCGAGCTGTGATGTCACTCAGCCCTCGCCTTCAGTACGATCTGGGAGCACCCAGGTGAAGACCTATGAAGAGACAGTAGCTTTTGTTTTGCTTTGCTTTGAGATAGAGATCAGGTAGCCTAGACTGGCCTCAAATTCTCTGTAGCTGAGATTAACCCTGAACTGATTCTCCTGTGCCCACGACCGAGATTATAGGCATGTACCATCCTACCCAGTTTGGGACAGGTCTATGCATAGTAAAAGATGGGATGAAGATGGATGGTAGAACTCTTGTTCAGCATGTGTAAGGCCCTAGATTTCATGTATGTGTGAATGTATGTGTGTATGTATGTATGTATGTATGTACATAAGCATTTATACATGAACTCCTTGAGGGCTCAGATTCTTTTTTTTTTAAATATTTATTTATTTATTATGAGTACAATATTCTGTCTGTGTATATGCCTGCGGCCAGAAGAGGGCACCAGACCCCATTACAGATGGTTGTGAGCCACCATGTGGTTGCTGGGAATTGAACTCAGGACCTTTGGTAGAGCAGGCAATGCTCTTAACCACTGAGCCATCTCTCCAGCCCGAGGGCTCAGATTCTATAAGCAGAGCATATAGCTCCAAAAAGAACAATCAGAAACACATGGGCAGGTTGAATGTGGTGTTGGGGGCAAAGGACAGTGGGGTGAGGAAGCAGGAAGGGAAGGCTTTCTGAAAGAAGGGCATCAGTTCTACTCAATCAGTGACTAAGGTGACTGAGCTATAGCTGGGCGAGCAGGGCAGGTGTCTAAGAGACAACAGATGGGAGCAGCTTGGCATGGGATGAGCAGGTATGTAGCTGCTCAGCCAAGTTCCAAGACAGCAGAGAGGGGAGAGGTTGGTGTCAAGACAGTAATGCCTTGGCTGTGCTGGGATTAAAGGCGTACACTACCACCACCTGGCTCAATCCTTATTCTCAAATGACTGCCCCGTTTCACTTTGACATTCTCAGTTTGGTAAAGATTCCTTGGACATTGATAACTATTCCTTGGTCCCACGTACAGGTGGTTTTTTTTTTTTTTTATTTCGTTTTGCTTTCGTTGTTTAGACAGAGTCTCTCTACCAGCCAGGTGGTGTGGCACCTGCCTTTAATTCCAGCACTTGGGAGGCAGAGACAAGCAGATCTCTGTGAATTTCAGGTCAGCCTGATCTACATAGGGAGTTCCAGGGCAGAGCTATACAGTGAGACTGTCTCAAAATACCAGAAACAAAACAAAACAACAACAACAAAAAAAAAACAACCAACCAAAAGCCTAAAACAAAACAAACAATCAAAAAGGTACGCCATTCCTAGCAACAGGATTTTAAAACAGTAGATACTGCAAAAGTGGGGAACGTGTCTTCATTCATGCCTCAAACCCCCAAGTCTGACAAAACAAATGAATGCTTCTTCCTTTCTTTCCTGGGGTTTTTTAGGGTTTCTGTGTAGCCCTGGCTGTTCTGAGTTAAAGTACTGGGATTAAAGGCACGCACTGTCACCTGGCTCACGTGATTCTTTATACAGTCCCCTTGACCGCATCAGAGAGGCCCTTAAGGATTTTTGGCACCTGGTTTTAACAGAATCCCAGACTTTAGCACTGACTGTTGGCATGCTAGACGCCATTCTGCCCTTAAACCTCGCACATGGGCCCCAACACCTACCAAAATAGAAACAAAGAAGTGTTCCATAGTTCCAGAAAAGTCTCCAAGAAAAAGTCCCTAAATGTACTAATCTTGCTTTTTGGCTTCTGTAGTTCTGCTTCTTGCTAACTGAAATGTGCCAACAAAGATATGTGTTTTGTACACAAAAGACAGAGCTGTAAGGCTCAAGGCTACACGATTTGGGAAAGTTCTCTGTGCAGCCCTTGGGCAACAATAAAGACATTCATTTTGTCACTAATAGTGTTAGTGTGATGGTCTCTGGTGGGCTTATCTCAACATTCTCAAACGTTTTCTTCTCAGAAACATAAACAATGATGGCAGACTTCACTATCAGTGAGTATGGTGCCCCAACCACAAGGCTTCTGAGTTTCTTCCTCTCCAACAAGGGTCTGTTTTCCACCCATGCCCACAGATCTGTTGTCACAGATATTCATACACAGGTAACATCTATGTCCTTGCTTCTGTTTCATTCTGGAGAAAATCCGTGCATTTTAGTGCAATCTACAATTTAGTGTGATGTGTCACTAATATTTTGGCGTGGGTGTGTGAGTTTACACGGGTTGGAGAAATGAAGACTCAGAGAAGCACTGAGAATGAACGTAGCCTCTGCGGCTGCAGGGGGCTCAGTCTGGGTGAACTGCAGCTCCTTCCTTTCTCCTCTCAGCTCCTTTATTTTTTCTTGTTTTTACACTTTAACTAGAATATTTCCATATCTCAAAACAAACTGATAGAAGCTTCCTAGCAATACAATGCCAGTCTCAAATACCTGTTTCATGTGGTACCACAGTTTTCTGGTTTTCTTCTAAATCAAGTTTTGCATAGGCTTTGTATCCGTGGGAAACTCTCAGTCAGGATTCACATAGGACAACAATTTCTAACTCAAAGGAAGACCTGGAGCTGTGAGAAAACTCCAGAGCTAGACCAGGTGTAACCCAGTGGGGTTTCATGGCTAGTGGAGGTTGCTTGCTGTCCCTCTGGTGCCAGGCCCTAGGGACATTCTACCATAGATCCCCTTTTTTTCCTACACAAAACTTAATTTTTGAGGGTTATGCAGCCATATAATATATACAGCTGTTGACAGAGGTTTCTGTCCTGCCCAGTCCCTCAGCCGTTCAGTCCCAAAGAAACACACAGAGGCCTCCGTCAACAAATGTGCCAATGTGGACAATTACATCTACATAAAACCTGAGAGAGCGTGGGATGTAATTCTAGACACAAAAGAACATCGCTAAACAGCTTCTTGGTAGTGCACTTTCTCAGGTGAGCTCTGTTTGCTAGAAGAAAGCACATCTCATTTAAGAGAGGCTTCCTAATTCATCTTGAGTTGCAAAAACATTGCAGCTCTTTTAAGAGCCCCCCCCCCAAAAAAAACACTTAAATGGTGTTTATGTATAGCAGACAGCGTGCTTCTTGGTGGTAGCATCAACCTTAAAACTCCATAGAGTTATGGCAATAAACATGGCTCCGGCCAGTACCTACATCAGGAAGCTAGGCTCTCAGAAAGCTAAGGAATGGGGTGGATCCAGCCTTCAAAGTCATGGCTTTAATCCTAGCCACATCACTTAGCAAATTAGTCTCATGTGGTCAGAAATAGTTATACAATAAAGATAGATTCAGATGGAACAAAAAACTTAAATGGTTTAGAGTGTATTTAAAAAATATGTAAACTTGGTAGAGAAAAGAAAAAGGATAAAGTCTTTAAAGAGAGAGAGAGAGAGAGAGAGAGAGAGAGAGAAATTGGGTTTTATAGCACATACCTTTAATCCCAGCACTTGGGTGGTGTGGGAGAATTGTATATATTCTGTTAATCATGTTTCAAATAACCACTGATTGGCCAGGCAGGGAGTATAGGCGGGAAAACCAGACAGGAAGTAGAGGTGGAACAAAGAGAACAGGAGTATTCTGGGAAGCAGGAAGCTCCCTCCACATTCCAGCCCAGACCACCAAGAAGCAAGATGTAAGCTGCCAGGCTGAGAAAGGTACCAAGCCATGTGGCTAACATAGATAAGAACAATGGGTTAATATAAGCTATAAGAGCTAATAAGTAGCCTGAGCTAATGGGCCAATCAGTTTATATCTAATGCAGACTCTCTGTGTGATTTCTTTGGAGCTTGCTGGCTGTGGGGTATTGGGCAGGACAGAAATCCCCATGAGCCCTGGCCTTCATGTTACACTTGGGAGTCAGAGGCAGGAGGACCTCTGTGAGTTCAAGGAAAGTCTGGTTTACAGAATGAGTTCCAGGACAACCAAAAATACACAGAGAAACCCTGTCTCAAAAAACCAAATATTAGGGGCTGGAGAGATGGCTCAGAGGTTAAGAGCACTGACTGTTCTTCCAGAGATCCTGAGTTCAATTCCCAGCAACCACATGGTGGCTCACAGCCATCTATAATGAGATCTGGTTCCCTATTCTGGCATGCAAGCATACATGGAAGGAATGTTGTATACATAATAAATAAATACATAAATAAATAAATACATCTTAAAATAAACCAAAAATTAAAAATAAATAGAACAGCCGGGCCATGGTGACATACGCCTTTAATCCCAGCACTCGGGAGGCAGAGGCAGGTGGATCTCTGTGAGTTAGAGACCGGCCTGGTCTACAAGAGCTAGTTTCAGGACAGGCTCCAAAGCTACAGAGAAACCCTGTCTCATAAAACAAT